GTGCCTCAGTGCTGTCTTTTAGTCAGCCCTTTCCAGCCACTGGTAGGACTTCCCAATGTCAGCCACCTCACCTATCTGTTGATGGTTCATCCCATGCAGGGTCTTGTCGTGCTATGGCATGCATGTGTGTGTGTGTGTGTGTGTATGTGTGTGTATACACACACACACACACACACCTACTTACCTTTCTGGGACAAAATGAAATATGGGTAAAGATATACTTTTTTCTGTCATAGAAATCCATGGGGGATTTATTTATCTCGTAAGTGTCTGAAATTTAACTTCAGTGGCAAGGCCACTGCTTAACTTAGCATTGGTTACAACAGTTTATAGACTTGGGTTGTCAAAGTCTGTTACATAACACACTCACTGGCAAGAGTTTGTAAGTTATATTCAGAAGTCCTAGGAACTTCCCTCTCCTGTATTATCATTTGCTTTAAGTTAGTCTCACGTTAGAGAGGTTCCAGAATAAAGTTGCAGCTACTATTCCATCTAATTATTCAGTGTAAATCAATCAGATGCCATTTTCCAAATTGTGGCTAGTAAATGTAAAGGCACTGATATGACTAAAAACAATGACAAGTAATTTTCTACAACTTCTATAGCATTGAGGAGGAGACCATTTTATGCATCCTTCATTTTTATGCTAATCAGTTTTTCTTCCAGTTAGCCAAGGCTGTGTTATGCTGGGTGAGCAAGCTTGGTTTTTTTGTTTGTTTGCTTGATTCAGCTTGAAAGAAAGCTGTTGAAATCCAACACTTTGTGTATTAGATACATAGTAATGATTTGAGAAACCACCAGATACATCTGTTTGTTTTATCATAAGACATCTTAAAAATCAATTGATATTTAAAAATGCTTGGTGTATTGTTTCATAGTCTTGATTGGAGAGGATGAGAATTCTAGCTCATGGATGGCATCAGTTTGGGAAAGGTGGTTCTGAATGTCCTTTTATTTACTATACCAATTTTGTAAGATAAAAATCAGTACATTGGTTTTAAATAGCATTCTTAAAGTTCTATTTTATGTGACAGATAACCCACAAAGCTTATGGTGTTATCGTGCCAAAGTTCATATGGAAATGTTTGTATTCCAGAATATCTGAAGAACTCATAGTTCTTGCTTTGTGCATTTCAGAAAGAAAAGCAGCATTGTTTAAGTGTACTGGAAGACTTCCCCCATTCCTTTCAGCTTGCTCGGTTTCTTCCTTCTCTTGAAAATAAAGAAGTATTGAACTAGAATGAACTAACTTTTAGAAATTACTGTGATTTCTGAAAGTATTCTCACTGTAATTCTTGAAAATCTTCTTGTAAACATTGTAATGTTAGACACACGGTGACTTCACGATAGCCAATTGATCTGGTAACAAGGTCCTGAGAATTATAATGGAAAATAATATGAGCAGCTACTATGCAGGAAAGTAATTTCTAAAGTGTATATGCATAGGGGTAAAAGGAACAAGTGAGAAGTCTTATTTGTGCTGAAACCAGAGAATGGACATTTTCTGCCCAAATCTTAGCACTATTGTCCAATAAACCATCTTAGTCTCTTGGACTATATTTTCAGTCAATATAATTGCATCCATGTTGCTCTTCCATAGTTCAATTTTAGAAGTTTTCAGTATGGCTAATGAATATTGATCCTATATGTCTTGATGTTAATTTATCGTAAACATTTGCTACATTCCTGTAGCATAATAAAACATTCCAAGATGCTTTTAGTTATCTTCACAGTGCTCATCCAAAATAGATGAAGCGGGAAGGTACTGATTTACAGATGTTGATGCTACAGGTAGTTCTTGTTTAGCAACCACAGTTGGGACCAGCAACTCAGTTGTTAAGTGAAGCAGTTGCTAAATGAAACTGCAGCTGCTTATGATCTTACTTCAGCTTTCCTTTGCTTTACAGACCTGCAAAGGTCATAAATGCGAAGATTGGTCATAAAATTACTTTTTCATTATCGTTGTAACTGCAAGTGGTTGCTAAACGAGGCAGTCGCTAAACGAAGGCTAATTGTACATTGATAAATATAAATTTCATTGCATTTTAATTTTTTTTTTAAATCAGCATGTCTCTTTTCTCTACTTGAAAGATGATGAAAATGAACAAACCAGTTCTCCATCACTACCCAACCAAGAATCACAGCCATCATCTACATTTCAACCAAGTAATATTCCCACAAGCAATTACAGTGGTATACAAATCCCACCAGGTGCTCATGCTCCAGCTAACACTCCTGCAGAGGTGCCTCATAGCACAGGTGAGTGATCTGTATATATTCAGCAGGGCATGTTCAATTGTTGTCATTTCCTAGATGCATTAAACATGTAATAAGACACTGGTAACTATTTCTTAGAGCTTTTGCAGTGAGTGGAAATGCCATTGGATTTTAGTGTAAGTTTGTGCTGGTTTAAAAAGACAAAATTAAATTGCACTGTATAAGCACATAAGTAAAACCATGCTTGATTATATCAAAAGGCCCACCGAGTGATAATTATTCTGTTCTGATACTTGTTAACCAAAAACTAATACAAAGATATGAAATGTATGGCAAGATATGTAATCTATACTAACCCCATTTGTGCTTCTCAGCAACTCATGTTGAGATACCTACTGCTTCCATTACAGGTAGTCCTCATTTAACGACAGTAATTGGGACTGGAAACTCCGTTGTTAAGCAATGTTGTCATAAGTCAAAAAACCATATGACCGCATCACTTAGGGACAGCAGTTCCAATTGCCATTGTTAAATGAGGACCGCACAGGTTGTTAAGTGAGGACCCCCACTTCTGACTTCCTGCCAGCTTCCCCATTGACTTTGCTTGTGGGAAGCAGGCAGGGAAGGTCGCAAATTGCAATCATGTGACTCCGGGGATGCTGCAACAGCCATAAGTACGAAGTCTGGTCATAATTAACCACCAGGTCAGCACCGTCATAAGTTTGAACAGTCACTAAATGAGTGATTGTTAAACAACCTCCTGTATATATCTCTGCAACCAACCAATAAGTACTTTTAGCTAAAAATATTATTCCACTAAGTTTTGTTTGTATACCTCTCTAAAATCACAATTTGCTCACTTGCCTATTAAACACTCTACCTATTTTTCATTCACTTACTCACTTTAAAATTAGGTTGTCCAAGTAAGCACTGAAAGACACTAGACAGAAAAAAATGGTGCTTCCTCTTGAACTACAGGTAGTCCTTGCTTAACAACCATTTGTTCAGCAACCGTTCAAAGTTACGGCAGTGCTAAATGAAGGGACTTACGACCGGTCCCCAAAGTTATGGCCATTGCAGCACCCCTGCGGTCATGTGATCAGAATTTGAGTACTTGGCAGCCCGCCCGCACTTATGACCACAGGGGCACTTCAACTCCCCAACCCACCTATCTCCCCCCATATTTGCTTCAGCAGGAGCAAGAAGACAGCGAAGATCAGCTGGGGCAGTGGAGTGCAGGGTGGCAGGGGCCTCAGAGCACAGGGTGGTGATGGCAACAGCGGCTAGGACTGGGATGGGGCAGCTGAGGTTTCCCAGGGCTTTGCAGTTTTGTGCCATGCTGCTGAGGCTTCTCAGGGCACTGAGGCTTTGTGCTGCGCTGCTGGGCCAGGCTCGGGCTTCCCACCACACGGTGCTGCTGGGCCAGGCTGGGGCAGCTGAGGCTTCCCATTGCAACTGCAGCTTTGCGCTGCACTGCGGCTCTGGGACTTCTTGCAGCCCCAGAGCCACAGTGCCAAGAAGCCCCTGAGCTTGAAGCGTGACAAGCAGCCCCATAGCTGCACGGTTCTGGGACTGTTTGCTGCCCCACAAGGCATGGTGGCCAGAAGGGCAGAGATGTGGGGGGAATAGGGAGTTGGGAGGAGTTGAAGGGGGGGCAGTCCCTTACCTTGGAAGAACCGAGGTTCGGGGCTGGGAAGGACCAAGCCCCAAATGGCTTGGGGTGGGGTGGGTCCTCAGCTAACAACCAATGGAATTCAGTTAACGACAGCAACAAGGAGTGCTGGGAGTGCCATCGCTAAGCGATACAGTCACATCACACTTTACAACTATATTACTTAGTGATGGAAATTCCGGTCCCAATTACTGTTGTAACTTAAGGACTACCTTTAGTGTGTGGGACAACCTGGATGTAAGGGCAGCTGGGCCACCCAACAGTAACATAATTTCTAGGCATGCAGCCCACACTGATAGCTAAATGTAAATTGTAGCCAGGTAGGAAGGATAGAATATTCAAGACTCGGCACACAGTTAAATGGGGAAAATGGAGAGAGAAAATAATGGAAAGATGAAGCTAGAGAACAACAGAGAATCAAATAGCAAGAGAAGAAAGATTTTTCAAGAACAACATGGTAGGAGAAAAACTTGCTGAACAGAAGTACCTAAAAGAGAAGGCTTGAAGACACAATCAGAACTTGCCATCACGTGGGCCTTCCAAACATTGATCTCCACTTTGCTAATTAGAGCGGGGAAAGGCCTCTTAACCAACTTAGATATCAGAGGAAGACCACAAAGCAGTAGGGTTGAACCAGCTTATTCCCAGATATTTTTCTAGCCCAAGAACTATAGAGCAGGGTTTTAACTCTTCAACACACTCTCCTGGATCTTCACCAACAAAGAACAAACTAGAAAAAATGTAGGACCCAGCTCTCTGTCTCTAGTGCCTCACGCTACAAATCTTCTTTTGCTGGGATGGTGGTGGAGGCTTTCATGACCATAGAACTGCATTCTGATGGGTTTTATTCTGTTACATACATAAGATAAAATAAATAACTTGCATATAGTGTCCTAATGGACACATCCAGTGGAGAAATCGGAGCTTGTTTCTATCAAGAATTTCTGCCTTCACCAAATGGACAGCATCCTGGTACTGCAAAGAAGATGACATCCAAATAGAATTGCAAAAATGAATTGCAGTAAAACATAAGGTTACTCCATTCAAAAGCCAAAAATTCTACTAGGTATGCCCAAGCCCCTGGTTATGCCTAAAATAACTTTCTGGAGGTTATTTTGTTTGTTCTAAATTTATGCACATGCCTGTACATACACCTGTTTGAAAGAAACAGTGTAGCAACAGATGCCAAGGGGAGGGGAATGAATTGAATATAAAGTGTAACAGCAAAGTTAAACTGAACACTGATAATCTGAAAAAAATAAAATATCATAGCCTTACTGAAACGTAACTTAAAATTAGAGGTGAAAAATGTGAGATGTTCTCAGATTATGTATATATACAATACTGAACAGTGGAATTTCCATTATATTTTGGCTTATGGCATTAACTTTACAAAAAAGCAGAATCTATAGTTTAAAACATTGACATAAGCATATTAAAGAAAGATTCTGCTTATTTCCTTCTAACTTTCTTTCAACATAGTTAAGTAGCATAAAGAGGGATTCTAGATTCTTGTGGGAATAAAAGTACTGTACTTACTAGATCATTTCTTCTCTCATTTTGTTCTTCATAGAATGTGGCATACCAGAAATTTCTATTTAGCACCAAGTTTGGCCCATTTTTGTACTATAGCTACTGAATTGCTGATGGATATGAAACATAAATACTATACAAGCATCACATTCTTCCCAGCTTCTACATTACTGTTTTAAAGTTCTCGAAGATTATTCTGAAATCATAGATTCCATTTCAGTTAAGGTAAAGATATATGATGTTTCTAAATATGCACATTTCTTTTTCTCTCTTTATAGGAGTAACAAGTAATACAATTCAACCCACACCTCAGAATGTTCCCTTAGTTGATCCTTCACTTTATAATGCCCAACCTGCAGGTAAGTTTTGTTTTCCTGCTACAGTTTGCATCATTGAAAAGAGTTGGCTACAGCACACCCAGGCTTATACACACAACCATAAATTTCCTTGAAAGTAATTCTTGCTGAATTCCATGGAGGTACTCCAAGAAAAAGGTGCCTATTTTTACAACCATAGATTCAAGAAACATATTTCAGAATGTGCAAAACATTTGAATTCAAACCATTTCAAATGTGAAACACATTAAGTTCAAAGCCATCATTCTGCATTTGAAATAAAAATATATTGGGCTAATGGAAATGGAGTGTTTCAGTAATTCTGTAAGTGCTTGAGTTCAAACCAGCTTTGTTCCAAGTTCACAACATTCTCTTTCAAGCAGAAAATACTTCCAAAGTGGTTGAAACAGCCAAGTCTGAACACAAATAATTTTTTCGAAGACAAAATGGTTCCCTTTTGAAGTGTTTTATGCACCTTTAATACTGGCCATAAAGGAAAAAACACATTGCTAATATTGTTTAAAATAATACTTGAACTGTAGTCCTATGTTTGTGCATAAGCAATAAGATTATGTGAAATTCCTTGCAGAAGCAATAATTCTAAAGCAAAGGTAAAAATGTAGAAGTGTAATGTCTGTAGTAGAGGATCCTAATTGATCATGTGATTGCATAATTACTGGAGAAGAAGTTCCATTTTCAGTATGATGAGGCAATATATTGTCAGCCATCTTGAGTGTTTCCTGGTAGAAAGGCAGGAATATAGATTGAATTAAATAATCATAATTGATATTGAAGCCCATAGCAGATATAGTGCAGACTGTATTGTGATTTCAAAATTTCATTTATTTATTATTATAACCAGTAAATGTCACCCTAGCAGCTCATCATCTAGGCCAAAGACTGATAATCTAGGATTCCAAATGGGTGATTACCAAATTTTCACCACTCCATACTAGCACTAGAATTAAGAAATACTTGACTGTGGCATGTTTGAGTGGACAAGGAACAGTAATTCCTAAGTAGTCTTCTCTATAAATTATGTTAACCCCAACTTTTTGCGTTTTGAGAAAGATTTTATATTTGTTAATTTTGAATATAAAAAAGACAGTGATTCTTTGCTAAATCTTTATGGATTTAAAAAAAAAAAATTCAGGCAACATATTCAAGTCTAAAATAATTATATTAAGCTGGAAATTGATACAACTAAACATACCTACCCAGATACTTTCCCCATAGAATTTCAAATATATTTCATGTATATAGCTCCTTAGAGAAAGTTCTTTAAGCAACTTAACGTTAATTATAAAGGCACTACAGGTAGTTATCAGTTAATGACTGCTTGTTCAGCGACCATTCTTACAACCGATCCTCAAAGTTCTTGCTGTTTCAGCACCCTCATGGTCATGTGATCGTGATCTGGGCACTTGGCATGCAGCTCACATGACAGTTGCAGTGTCCCACGGTCACGTGATTGCCATTTGCAGCCTTCCCTACTGGGTTCCCACAAGCAAAGACAATGGGAAAACTGGCAGGGAAGGTTGCAAGTCGCACCTGTAAGATCCTCGCTTAATGGCGGCAACAGGGACTGCCATTATTGCTGTCACTAAGCAATACAGTCACATGACGTTACGCTTTACAACCACATCACTTAGTGATGGAAATTCCGGTCCCAATTACCATTGTGAAGCAAGGACTACCTGTATCTAGAAGTATCAGCCAATATAGCAGACGCTGCCTATTAATTCAAATTCAGATTTAAATACAAATACAAAACACAAATAGGGCTAAAATTCTGTTTAAGTAAATTCTGTAATCCCAGAAGAGCAAGCAGGATTTTAAACTGTTTTGGCAGACAGTTCTCATTGTAAACAACTTCTCTTAATAACGTTGTTTATGCTAGCATTTTTTCTAATCAAGTTTTCAGCCTCTCTGTCAGTTTCCTAAGTGCCTAGCTGAAAAATTCATAATTGGTAAAAGCTTGACTAAAATGAATATAATTATATGAATATTATCTTTGTATTTGCAAAATGTCTGGCTTCTTATAGGCAGCATAAGCCATAGCTGTCTGTCAATTTTTTTGGCATTTCAGAATTTTAGTTCTTTCAAATGATGTGATTAAAAATATCTACAATGTATACTGTTTTTTTTATAATTACTTAGTTTTTATTTTTCTTGTTTAAAAATCTAACAGAAACTAATATTTAAGATAAAGGAAAGAAGAAAAAGAAAGGAAAAAAAGCCAAAAGTGCAGGAAAAAAAAGAAACAAAAAAGAAATACAAAGAAATTACTTCCAATTTTCTTTTACAGCAGTTATAGGTATAAAGATATAGGTATATAGAACCAGCCAATCCTCATGTCTTATTTGCATTTGGATATAATTATTCTTCAGCCTGAGAGAGATTTTCTAGTATACATTGTACAATTTATGCAATGCATACTATTAAAACTTTGCCTGAAATGTATTAATATTATTTGAAGTAGGCCTCAATAATAATAAATAAGGCCTTTTGCCAACAGAACATGTAATAGAGTAGATACTGTAAAAATAAGATTAGATTGGTTAATTTAGGCTTTGTTCCAGAAAATCAGTTGAATACTGGACTGATGCCTTGGCTGTTTTCTAAAAGAATGATTTTCAAGTTTCTTTTGGCATCATATGAGAAAACAAAATGTCCTTGAGTCAGTCTTTGAGGTAACGTGTTCATGCTGTGTTTTTCAAAGAGAGGGAGGCTACCGTTGACCGAACCGTAGAAGTCAATTGTGGATTTATACGCTTATCAGGTCATGGATGTTAGGCTACAGATTGCAGATTTAAGCTATGTTAGAACTAGTTTTGTGGCTTGTCTATTAACCATGGTGTAGTGCTTTGAAGAAATTGTCGCTCTGTGCAAACATACGCTTGATTCCTGTTGAAATAAATCCATTTGAAGTATGTTTTGTTTTTTATAGAATGCGCAAAGTGCACTCATAGTAATAAAATGCCTGATGCAAGGTTCTTTTTTTAAAAAAAACTATAGATAAGGCTATACTGATTAAAACTAGATTTGGCCAATGACTAACAATATTTGAACAAATATATTGGACTGGATTAAAAGTTTCTCCACTTCAGAAGGATAAATGTGCTCCAAAAAAAAAGAGCCTATCCTCTACATGAAAACTTTTTTTTTTAATCTGCTAAAGCAAACCATTTAATACACTGTATAAAAGAAGAAAGAAAAAATAATGTAATGTAATACATTTGATATATGAATTAAGGAAATAATTCTGTAATGATGAAACAAATTAAAAAGGTAATGAATTATGTTTACCAATGTTAGGCCATTGTGGATATACTTCCAGGTACACATACAAACAATTGTGGTACATCACAATAATCACAGCTGTAAAGTGAGGAAAAGACTATGTATAAATACATATGTGTAAATATGTATAAAATCCTACTGTATATATGATTAAATTCTTGCCACTGAAATACTATCATACTGTGTTGTGTTATGGCTCCTGAGGCTTTGTTGAAATGGAAATACAAGGCCGCACAAGTTCAGAGTTGTGTTTGCAGTGGGAGTCCATCAACAGAAGGTAATATTCTTTCTCTTGGAGGCTTGCCAAAACTAAGATTTAAAAGACTAGAACTTGTGAAGTATGACAGCTAGATTTCTGTGTTTATAAGGTACTTTAACATGATATGACTCATCCCTTTGAAATGTAGCAAATCAAACAAAACTTTATTTTAAACAATGCTTAAATGTGCCTCTTGGGTTTTGTTAGACACAGATTGATCATTATAAATGGTAAGCAGGTCTCTGTCTATCCCCAGTGCTCAAAATAACAGATCATGTAAGTAAATCAATATTAACTGTATAGTAGCTAGCATTTGTTTGCATTTGTTGATGTTGTTACAGAAACTGCATCATTAATATTATATAGACAGTATTTTCCATTGAATAGTTGTGTAAAAAAGGCTGAATGGGAACTTTTTCTTTGTATCATTTGTTTTGACTTTTACAGTTTCAGAGTGTATTAAATTTGAAATAAGGCTTACCAACTATACTGTTATATAGTTTTATTACAAATGAGGACATTCTTCATTTTTCTACTTTAGTCAAAATCAGAAAAAAAATATTTTACTGTTCCTAGTGCATTGGTATCTAATGCATGTTTGATTTTTTCTTTCACCTGACAGGAAAAATAAAATGTCACAATGCACATATCTTCCACCAGGGAACAGGCGTTATTTTGTAACGGGATGATCCCATATCTGGACAAATTATGCAGAGGCAGAATCAATGAATGGCCTTAGTTGCACTCTAGGCTTGAGGGAAAAAAGGGAGAATCTAAGGTTAACACACAAGATATTGTCCTTGTTTTTGTGCAGATTGTAACATGATTACCCTTAACTGACTGAAGCTTCTAAAAGCCTTCCTTAGTGGCATTAGATAAAGGGCAAATCTCTCTCAAAGTATTGGCTTACACTTAAAGCTTCAGACAGTTTTTCTGTTCACTGATCTTAGCAAATCATTTCAGGTGGTTAAATAAATATGTGTGTAATGTATGGAAGCTGAACCTTAGTCCCCTGTCTCTGTTTTCATAGGGGAAGTTCGTTTGACTCCCGAAGACTTTGCCAGGGCCCAGAAATATTGCAAATATGCTGGCAGCGCTTTGCAGTATGAAGATGTGAGCACTGCTGTGCAGAATCTACAGAAAGCCCTCAAGTTACTGACAACAGGCAGAGAATGATGCCTTTGTCTGCTGGCTTCATCACTTGTACCTAAAAAAACTTAACAAGCGGTTACTCTTAACTCTTGTCAGGAAAATGCATTTGCACAAAAGCTTTTGATTTCTGTGATAAGAATACAACCTCTCTATCTGTCTAATTGTTTCCGTAGTTTTGACAGAGGAATAAGAACTATCTGGGGACAGAGGTTTGCATTCAGTACACCAGAACTATAGAATGCCCCCATGGTTGTGCTGTCCTTCTTATGAAATGGGGTAGGGAGAGGAGGGAAATGCTTTCTGAGGAAATACGTGTTTAGAATTTGTTACAAATATAAGATAAGATTGTTTGAAATGCAACATGCTTCTCATTGAAAGGTCCAGATAATTTTGGGGGAGGGACACTATATAGTAAAACTGATACAGCAAATGAGGCAGAGAGGATTCTGCTAGGAACTTTCAAATCAAGTTAGAAAGTTAGTTAGCTTTAATGATAAAGTGGCAGGAGAGCCACTTTAATGGTTCCTGATTCCAGTACTCATTAAAGCAATGTAACTTGTGTATTTTTTTTTCCATTGTGTGGCTTATTTCAGTTTTGAGAATAAAAGAAATATACATCTGAAATGTAAAGCCTAGCTCCAGATATCTTGAACTTTGAAAGCACCTATATTTAGTTCTAACTCTGAGAAAATAACCAAAGTTAGAAATATCTGGAGTTTGACATTTATTGCCATCATTTAAAAAAAAATGAAAATGTTCAACTCTTGTATTGTAGACTATTAAAGCATTGTGGATCCTTTACATATGTGTTTGAATTATTAATGTTAACATGCATAAATGTTTTAACAAATAAAAATATTTTAGTAGTAAATACTAATGTTTTTTGTTGATAAATTTAGTTTAAATAGATATTTTCTACAAATTATATGCCTCCTTTTTTCCTTTGCTTTTCTTTTTCTTAAACAATAGCTTAGTTCTGCCTTACAGTGTGCACCAGCTCAGTTGGGTGGAGCTAGAAGAAATAGTTTAAATGTCAAAAAGATTTGTGCTACAAATAACAGCTAACAAAAGCGGTTCAACATTAAGATAAATGTATAGTCTCTCAGATATCAAGATGCACTTTAGATCCCAAATTTGGCAAATTGAAAAATAGTGGTTTCCCTTTGAATGATGCAGAGCTCTCCTGATTTGACTCCGAGCTCAAATTCAAATTTTATTTGAATCACTGAGTTTCCTAACTTTTCCAGTATAAATTAATGGAATGTGGAAAATGTTATGTTGTTTTAAGTTCAGAATAAAACCTGGCTTTGAGCAGTGTTGTCCAAATCCAAATGTTAGGTTTGTGCTAAGCTTGAAACAAAACCATGTCATTTCTAGCATTCCAGGTGCTCTATTTGACAAAAAATTCTGTTGCTTTCTTCATTAAACTCTGTTGTTCAGTGAACACTTTGCATGTTCCTGTTGATGTTGAATTTTCTCACTACATGCTAAATGCAAATACTGTGATGCTTTTCCTTTGCTACCAAACTGCCCAGTACAAAAGTATGCGCTATGCATACACATTAAATAGAAAAGCCCATACAATAGCAATAAAAGTATATATTTTGGTTTTATGTTACTATATTGTTCAAGGACTGCATTAAAATAAATCTATAACTGTGTTTCTCATTGCTGGGCTTCTGTCACTGCATGCCTTGCAGAGAGCAAAAAAAAGCATTCTTAAATTGTTCTGTTGTTTGCAATGGGATTCAAAGTGATTTTTAAATAATCTTTGGCCAATTTTCTGTAGGTTAGGTGGTGAGCAGGAGTAAGGATATATATTTAGCTGAAAAATGAAGGCACAAAGGCCTTGTTTCAGGCAGCAGAATGCTTGGAGCAGCCTGAGTTTGGCTCCATCTTAAATATGGAACATTCAAGGCACTCTATGTTTAGTTTCATCAGAACAGAGGCAATTTGGAATGTTCAAAATGTTGCTGTTTTCTTCCTTGAAACAATTTTTTATTTTGTTTCATGTCATGCATACCCTTGGAAATCAATATTAGAACATTTCAAGTCTGCTGCTCTTGGATCATTTTGTTACACATTTTCAAATACTGTGAATATGGGTTTGAAGGATTTATGTGTACTCATTGATCTTGATTATTTCAACACAACTTTTTTTATACCACTGTAAAAGTCTAGTATTGTAGAATGAATGATTCCATATGTAAGTCATTACAGTACTATTTTAAACATCTCAACATGATGAACTTTGGAAGGAAGGGAAATGCTGTGGAACCACTCAATTTATTAGATTTCCCTTATGTTAATCTGCTTACATTCAGATACTTCAATTAAACTTTTCAGTTCTACTAAAACTAGTTGGATCACAAGCACCATGCACAAGCAAGATGCACAACTGCATGTGAATAGAAGGCTTACTGATTTGCTCTCCAGTATTTGTGCTGCTTCTCCCCACCCCCTCCGCAAAACCAGGAGCCATTTCAAAGGAGCTTTAGAAGCAGAGAGTTGCGGATAAGGAAAATCAATGACTCTCCTCATGGAAGCAGGACAATTTTCTATTCATTCAGCAAGATTTTCAGCATGTATTGCTTAATTAATCTTTAAGGCATTCATTTCATAAAATACCATATCCCTTCAAGCTATATTATTGATTGTGTTACAATGTGACTACAGCAAAAATGAGTGTTTCTAATACTGTAGCTGCCTTACACATTTTCTTGTGTTTGCTTTGCCTGAACAGTATAAGCAGCTTTCAGAAAGGAGTATGCATGAAATATATTTTGTTTTGTTCAAAATGAAAATTCTAAAACCTAAATAGGATACAATGGGAATACAGCTGTGCTGCCATCATTGAAAAATCTGGTTGGTTTAGGGTCTGCTATCAAAATAGCCTCACCCCTGCTTTTCAACAGAGGAAACCATTTTTATCAGTTTCTTCAAATAAACTCCCTGAGTTTCTCAGCCAACAGATTAGCTGTTCTCTTTGTCCTGTAATCCTTTTATCATTTTTTTCAGTTAGATATACCTGTGAGGTTTTCTTACTAAAATAATGGATCTTATCTGGCCAATTTTCCTGTAGACAGTGACATTCCACTTATGCAATAAACATGTAGTGGGCAGCCACTGGCCCTTTAAATCACAAATGAGCTGATGCCCCCAGCAGGAGTCACCTGACCCCTGAGAACCAATAAAGGAAAAGAAGAGAGTTATGTCAGGTTTCTGGGTAGGAAGAATTTTGGGGTTTTGAGAGAGTTGGCTGGAGTCCTGGAGAAGGGACCTCAGGCAAGTTTGGAAATTGAGTTGTTTGGCTGCAGCTAGAATTGTGTTAGGGTTTTTGTGTTTTATCTCTTTTCAACTATGTGTTGGGTGTGTAGAACCTTATCTTCTTTTGGCAGCTTTCGTAAAGTTGATTTTTGTTTAAATCCTGGAGTTGACCGGTTGCCTTCTAAGACCCGCCTCAGCTTGGCTGAACTACAGACTCCCAAAAGTTTTGTTTGGTTTCCCTTCCTGTAGTTCAGCCCAGACCCAGGGTGGGGAAAGGATTTCCCCTTCAACCCTCTCCTGGTTCCCAGAGGGCTGGGGTGGAAGGGAGAAACTGGTTCATAACCAAGGGGTGGTGGCTGCAGCAGAGGGACCTAATTTCCAGTCGCTGTTCACCCCTAGGCACAGGTCACCTCAGCACCAAAGTACCTCAGAAGGATGGGCTGTTCCCATCCTGGGGGCACCTTCCTTATAATATGTCATACTTTGGGGGGGGGGCGGTGAAGATGCAAAAAATAAAATTGCCAATGCTGCTTCATTGGATGATTTAACATTAACTATAGAGAGTGCACAAAACACCTATACTCAACAAACTAGCCCAAACACAGAAGTTGCATTTTTAGTGCTTTCTGAAGCTTAACATCAGGACACACGAGTATGCACAGAGTACACATGCACACAAAGTGAATAAACTCTGCACCGGTAGTCTTCGTATTTACATAACTTGAGCATGATTAGCAACCCTTATGTGTGAACTGCAATAACATTATTTGCACTACTTGCTTGTGCTATCAAAGAACCAGTACACTGATGCAACTTACCAGTATATTCACCCAAACTCTTTCTGATAGCAAAGAGTTTTTGTAAAAACTAGGAAGTATGAGATGTGAGTAGTTTTCTGTTTCAGCACATGCTTAACTGCTTCATTTCTTTTAATGTTCCCCTGCTTAAAGTAAAGCAATAGCTGCAAGGACATGACTGATCACAGGGGCTGTACTGGACAGCCTGGGAAAAGTTTGAAAAAAGCATCCAGTCACAAGCCAAAAAACAACAGTCCCGATCACAGTACTCAGAACAACTGGAATACTCAATACAACTGAAAACAGCCAATGTTTGTCTCATGCTTGGAACAAAACAGCAAAAACCTTGAACTCTCAAAATACATTTTATTTCTTGCTCCAAACATTCAAAATGGGTCAAGGTGAGAATATTTCAAAGTTGAAATGCTTTGCCCATTTCTACTTTCCAAATTCTCACTTTAGAATTCTCCACTATATGCATGAATGCAGGTTTCAGTTTGCTCAGCTTTGCAAAGCCAGAAGACGTCTATATAGTATTCTTCATCCAAATAAATCTTGGAGGATTTGCAAATTCCGAAATTAAAATTACTACATTCTCCAAATTTTCCTGGCATTAGTAGAAAGTAGAGGGTTTTTTTTTTCCCCTCCAGATTCAACTATTTCACAAGAACTAAATACAGGAACCAGTTGAGAAGGTTCTTGTTAGGGAACACTGAAGGCTACAGTGTGGATCCTAAATGTTTGCTCCCTTTGTAAAGGTCTCTACTCATAGACAGTTGCATTCACAGGAGGTGTTTCTCTTTTAAGCTGTGTCAGGGTTTTGTTCTGTTTTTTAATACTCCCACATTTTCTTTGGCAGACTATGAAAAACTAATTTACTGCACCTGAAGCAGTATTTCCTGAAGATTCATCTAACCTCCCCATAATGGCTTCATCTTTCTCATGGAAATTCCAATCTGTCTCCTAGCTAGTTCTACACTTTCTAAAAACATACCTGAAGTTGTGGTATTTTCACTGCCCGAACTTGTTCTGACACTTTTATTTCATTATTAAAGCCTATGCATAGTAGTTTAGATCCTCTGAGTTTCCAAAGAGCAATGGCTTTGTATCATGAGAGCACAATGTTGCTTTTTAGACTTTCTACCATATGGAAGCCATTTATCCATGTAACTAGGAGAATATTTAAATAATCCAACCACAGCATTCACTGGCTGATCATGAAACAGCTTTCTGATGGAATCAGTACCCTGTAGTCAGCTCATTTTATTTTCTACCATCAATGTGAATGTTGCTTTTAGCAAGTAGGCTTGTACAAAGAGACCCTCCTCAAAACACTGAGGCTGCAGTGGCCTCTGGAAGATTTGGTGTGCCTGCTTTCAGGGCTTCCCCAGGTTGTTTGCAAGTGTGTGCATGAATGAATATTGATCTGCTCACCTTTCAGCAGATCTTGGGGAGTTTCCTAGCAATATGGTGAACAGTCCTTTCATAAACCTGGTTAGCTTCCAGAA